CTCTCCTCCACCACCAGCCGTGCTCTCTCCCCCACCACCCAATTCCTCGCCCCAAGTATCCCAGTCACCACCGCCTCCAATGCCGTTGCCGCCTCCGCCAAATCCTCTGCTGCCTAAATCTCCACCGCCACCCAGCCAACGTCCTCCGCCTCCATCCCCGCCACCACCTCATCTCACTCCCAAGTCGCCATCTCCACCTCCGCCGGCCGCCAAGCCTCCGAAGGCGCCCAGATCACCCAGTTCACCAAAAGCGCCCAAACCGCCCAAAGCGCCTGTCCCGCCCAAAGCCCCCAAACCACCCAAGGTGCCCAAGGCCCCAAAGCTCTCACCCCCACCACCCCCCGTGGCCAACAACAACCAACTTGTGGAAGGTTTCCCTTTTTTTACCTCCTGCAATGCCCGTGACGTCAGCCTGACGCCGTACCGAATGTCCGTACCCAGCGGGCCGTGGAATGCAACGGCTTCCAGTGCCACGTACTGCTTCCGAGTTGCCGCCACCGCGGCAGCGAACAGCGCCAGCCCGTGTGCAGGAATGACCATTAACAGGATGGAGATGATCATCGGTAAGTAATGGTAAGGAAGTGAAGCGGGTATGATATAGAATGGTCCATAGATGGTGCTATGGTATGATAGATAAGCCTGAAGTGGTCTATAGACACTCCTCTTTCACATACGTCGCTCTTTATTCACCCAATAATTGCTTGATACTACATGCAATATATTAAAGCATATTTAATCAAGCTTTTAAATGTTACATTACATCATGTAAATACTAATTATCTTTGTTCACAATATAATTTATTAAGCAAGCATATATAATACTTAATTTTTGGGCGAGGCCCGCGGGCGCGAAGCGCCATTCGGGGGGCCGAGCCCCCCGGGTTCACTGCTGTCAGTCAGTCAGTCAGTGGCTTACATATCTCGCCTCGCAAAAACATGCGTTCGAATGATATATACATTCTATATCGAAATGCCAATGGAGACATTCCAGATAAATCGGAGCGCGAAGATAGCTTTCCTTGGCTCCGAGTTTGACATTAAGTACTTAATGTCAAACTAAGGCACTGATTGGGTCGGTAACCCATGGGTTACCCATCGGTTACCCACCTTCAACCCCCCGTAGCCCATTGGTAACCCCCTTGTAAGTTCCTACCCAGCAGGAGGGGTAACACGGCCCCAGGGTAACCCCCTCCGTTGCCCTGGACTATGGACATGGGCCTATAGGCTACTCATCTTATTTGCTGCGCACTTCGTGAATTC